CTACTACTACTACTACTACTACTACTACTACTACAACTATACTACTACTATTACTACTACTAACGTTGCCTCTATTTGATAAATTTAACAACGATGAGAAAAGTGGACGGGAGGAACGATAAGCCTGATGATCTTGTTTTTCAGGTACGAAAGAAAAGCCCATCTTTCTTTCATCTTTTTTCTTCATCTCATTTATTGCAGGATAGAAATAGGAAGGAAATTAGCGATGAGGTGATGTCGGCAAAGCATTAACCATACCATTGCATCCAAAACTACTACTACCACACCACCATCATTATCATCATCATCATCATCATTACCAACAAACCTTTGAAACCTGTTTGTTTCCAGTAACGTAGAGCAACAGTAGCAGCAGCAGTAGCAGTGACAGGAGCATCAAGCAATCCAACCTGATGATAACAACAATAAAGGCAATTCATGATGACAAAAATTTTCTTTTTTTTTTTTCTCTTTCACACTAAAGCAACAAGAATATATTTTAGTCAACCAGTAAACATCATCACCGAAACCTGAACTTCGATAAACGAGCGAAATTATCAATGGGACGAAAGTTGTCAACTAACGATAGCAACTTGAAATGAAAGGAAGGGATGCTTTGTTCTCATTTAATTCCTTCCTCTTTCATAACCTCTCTCTCTCTCTCTGCCTCTTTCAATTCTAAATTATTCATTTATAAATAAATTTTTGAATATCACTAACGATAACACATCAAAATGTCATCAACACTGTAACTTTTATTACTTTCAAAAAGTAAGCATTCAATAAGCAACATTGTCGGAGGAATAGTAACAATGTTTAAGAATAATAACAGCAAGATAAAACCTAAATAGCTAATCAAGCTTAAAGAATTCTATAATCATCATTTCAATAATACTAAAAGTTATCATTCTAAATTTTAGGGAAAAATTTTTATTACAGCAAAAATGTGCAAAAAATTTGCATGAAATATTTGTGATAAAGTTAAATGTAGGCTTTCTATTAAAATATGTATATTTCAAATTTTCAGATTTATCAGCAATACTGTAAATACTACAACTAATACAGATCTTGAAAGTGATAAAATCATATGCCTGCTGTTATTGCCTAATTATAATCCATCATTTTGTACAAATATACATTAGAATTAAGCAGTTCTCGAATCTAACTGATAAACAGTTAAGGTGATAAACAATACTAGAAGAATTTTATAAAGTAAATGAGAAAAAGAAGAGGAATGGTCAAGTGTTGATGTTAGTTCTTCTTCATCATCATATATAGTAGGCCTTGCCTTATATATATACTGTGAGAGTAACGGAAGCTCTGTCTCTCTTCGCAACCAAATCAAACAGAGGATTTTACATACTTCGGGCCTACTGCTCAAGTTCTTGTCTTCTTATCTTAGTCTTTCTCCGATACTTCTCATTGCTCTCTCTAAACAAAAATCCATAAAAGTAAGTATGGAATAATGAAGAGAGAGACAGAAAGATGGGGAGAAAGACTGCGATCTGTTCGTTGTTGGCCATTGGAAGGAAAGATGAAATGAAATGAGTAGGAGAGGTTAGAAGTAGAAGTTGAAGTTAGTACATGAGCAGTGCTGGAAGTTGATAACGACCAGTTCAACAAATATTTCAAGCCAAAAAAATTGGAAATCGAAGTGAAATAGAGAGAAAGAGAGAGATAGAGGGAGGGAGAGAAAGAGAGGACAAACTTTAGGCTAACACTATTCATGTTTGCTCTATATTATAACCAAATAAGGTCATGCTATTAAGCTCAAGATATATCTTCAAATGGTAATATGCAAAAGGAGCATTTGATAGCGCATCTCGGCATTTCCAAGATCTTAAAGCCTCTTCTTACAACGAAATAGAAAATGATCGATTGGAGAAGCCAAATGGGACGCTGAAAAGTATGTTCACCTGAAGTGGCCATTTATAAACTTGTCTGTTATTTCAATTGATAAAATGTTGATGAGAACTGATTAAAAAGGAAGAGAAGGAAATTTTATGTTTACACAAAAATGCTCACTGCCATAATAACATTCATTCACTCTCTGCATATCGAAGGTATTAAATTGTAATAGGTAATCTATTAAGATATGAATCTTTAACAGAACTAATTAATTTTATATTTAAAAGAACTTCAACATATGTTATAAAGTAATAGTTAAAAAGGAAAAAAAAAGAAGAAATGAGTAAATTTACTGTTAACTCGATGATATGTGTGTTATCAAAATGAGCAGCAGCAACAGCAGCAGTAGCAGCAGTAACAGTAGCAGTAGCAGTAGCAGTAGCAGTAGCAGCAGCAGCAGCAGCTGAACAATACTCGATAAGTGGTTATTATGAAAATAGGAAGGGCGAGAAGATGGTGCTGCTCCTACTACTGCGCCACGATGAGACGAGACTGACAAGTTTGGAGCTGATGTTAGTTTGTTGGTGACGAGAAATGGCGACCGAACATGCAAATCATACAAACTGAATCAAACTCTCATCATCTCACAACCATCACAACCATCACCACCACCACTACCACCAGTGCCACCACCATTAATACCACCATCATCAGTACCATCACCACTACTACCACTACCACCACTGTCATCAGTACCACCACCATCACCAGTACTACCACCACCACCACCACCACCACCACCACCACCA